CCAGCACCCACAATCTGTTGTCTGAGAGTTTGGCCCGGCTTGTGGCCATCAAAGACACCCTCAAAGGTTCCACTTCAAGGACCTTGGAAGTTGAAACTAGAGGAATTGTCAACTTTTCCTGGTGTGTTGTTCACCACAGTACTTGGGAAATAATGAAGCTCGGGAAAGGGGAAGCAGTTCATTGCCTCTTCCTTCAGCAGGAAGAACCAAAATGAAAGAGCACATGGTTTCATTCCACCCTCAAAGCCTCTACATCAAGGCAGAGAGGAACCAGAGGGGTCTCATTCAATAAGTATGCAGTTCTTTAAAACCCTGCCCAGCCCTTCCTCATGATGAATGCCCATTATCCTGGCTGTTGTCATGGTGCATTTATTCTGCACCATTCTATCATCAGTTTTTCATGGATATACCAGGGCTGGCAGCTATGTGCAGAAGTGAATCTCCTCTCCATGTGATCACTCTTACAAATTCTCCAGATGCCAGTACCAGTGTTGTCTTATCCAGGACACTGACACTGGTCAAAGTCACGAGCAACATTCTGTTCAACTTCCTGAATTCGCTCAGACCTTTGTCATGATCTCTGTCCCACGAAAACTTCAAGCATCTCATTGTCCGTTTTTGTACCACTGCCCCTGCATGACTGAACTTCTATTTGTTCTGGTGTCATTAGCAGACCTCAAATATTAAATTTTCTACCTGAGGAGGCAAATCAAGAGTGCCCCATATTGCCTTCTTGGCATCTTTCTACGGTATATAAAGCAGGGCAAGAGTTATAGCTGGGGGAAAGGCAACTATGAGGCGATGAGGCAAGATTTAGGATGCATAGGATGGAGAAGGAAACTGCAGGGGCTGGGCACAATTGAAATGTGGAGCTTGTTCAAGGAACAGCTACTGCGTGTCCTTGAGAAGTATGTACCTGTCAGGCAGGGAGGAAGTGGTCGAGCGAGGGAACCGTGGTTTACTAAAGAAGTTGAATTTCTTGTCAAGAGGAAGAAGGAGGCTTATGTAGAGATGAGGCGCGAAGGCTCAGTGAGGGCACTTGAGAGTTACAAGTTAGCCAGGAAGGACCTAAAGAGAGAGCGAAGAAAAGCCAGGAGGGGACATGAGAAGTCTTTAGCAGGTAGGATCAAGGAAAACCCTAAAGCTTTCTATAGGTATGTCAGGAATAAAAGAATGACGAGAGTAAGATTGGGGCCGGTCAAGGACAGTAGTGGGAAGTTGTGCGTGGAGTCCGAAGAGATAGGAGAGGTGCTAAATGAATATTTTTCTTCAGTATTCATGCAGGAAAAAGACAATGTAGTCGAGGAGAATACTGAGATACAGTCTATTAGACTAGAGGGGATTGAGGTTCATAAGGAGAAGGTGTTAGCAATTCTGGAAGGTGTGAAAATAGATAAGTCCCCTGGGCCGGATGGGATTTATCCTAGGATTCTCTGGGAAGCTAGAGAGGAGATTGCAGAGCCTTTGGCTTTGATCTTTATGTCGTCATTGTCTTCAGGAATAGTGCCAGAAGACTGGAGACTAGCAAATGTTGTCCCCTTGTTCAAGAAGGGGAGTAGAGACAACCCTGGTAATTATAGACCAGTGAGCCTTACTTCGGTTGTGGGTAAAGTGTTGGAAAGGATTATAAGAGATAGGATTTATAATCATCTAGAAAGGAATAATTTGATTAGGGATAGTCAACACGGTTTTGTGAAGGGTAGGTCGTGCCTCACAAACCTTATTGAGTTCTTTGAGAAGGTGACCAAACAGGTGGATGAGGGTAAAGCGGTTGATGTGGTGTATTTGGATTTCAGTAAAGCGTTTGATAAGGTTCCCCATGGTAGGCTATTGCAGAAAATACGGAGGCATGGGATTGAGGGTGATTTAGCGGTTTGGATCAGAAATTGGCTATCTGTAAGAAGACAGAGGGTGGTGGTTGATGGGAAATGTTCATCCTGGAGTTCAGTTACTAGTGGTGTACCTCAAGGATCTGTTTTGGGGCCACTGCTGTTTGTCATTTTTATAAATGACCTGGATGAGGGCGTAGAAGGATGGGTTAGTAAATTTGCGGATGACACCAAAGTCGGTGGAGTTGTGGATAGTGCAGAAGGATGTTGTAGGTTACAGAGGGACATAGATAAGCTGCAGAGCTGGGCTGAGAGGTGGCAAATGGAGTTTAATGCGGAAAAGTGTGAGGTGATTCACTTTGGAAGGAGTAACAGGAATACAGAGTACTGGGCTAATGGTAAGATTCTTGGTAGTGTGGATGAGCAGAAAGATCTCGGTGTCCATGTGCATAGATCACTGAAAGTTGCCACCCAGGTTGATAGCGTTGTTAAGAAGGCGTACAGTATGTTAGGTTTTATTGGTAGAGGGATTGAGTTTCGGAGCCATGAGGTCATGTTGCAGCTGTACAAAACTGTGGTGCGGCCGCACTTGGAGTATTGCGTACAGTTCTGGTCACCGCATTATAGGAAGGATGTGGAAGCATTGGAAAGGGTGCAGAGGAGGTTTACCAGGATGTTGCCTGGTATGGAGGGAAGCTCTTATGAGGAAAGGCTGAGGGTTTTGAGGCTGTTTTCGTTAGAGAGAAGAAGGTTAAGAGGTGACTTGATAGAGACATACAAGATGATCAGAGGATTAGATAGGGTGGACAGTGGGAGCCTTTTTCCTCAGATGGTGATGGCTAGCACGAGGGGACATAGCTTTAAGTTGAGGGGTGATAGATATAGGACAGATGTCAGAGGTAGGTTCTTTACTCAGAGAGTAGTAAGGGCGTGGAATGCCCTGCCTGCAAAAATAGTAGACTCGCCCACTTTAAGGGCATTTAAATGGTCATTGGATAAACATATGGATGATAATGGAATAGTTTAGGTTAGATGGGCTTCAGATTGGTTTCACAGGTCGGCGCAACATCGAGGGCCGAAGGGCCTGTACTGCGCTGTAATGTTCTATGTTCTGTGTTCCCATTGGCTATTCCTCAGAAACGTGTCATCACATACATATATGAGAACACCAAGATTATATTTCAGTACCAATAGCTTTGACTCAATGATTGCTTTAATAGTGTTTGACAACTTTTCTGTAAACATGAAATGAATGAGGCAAGACTTTCTCTACTTTAGCATTGGCAAAAGCAAAGCTTTGTTTAATACCTGGCACATGTTCCTCACCTTGTTCCTCACCTAGGTATTCATAATGACCATAGCTATCAATAGATTATTGAAATTTTAAGAGTCTGAATGTAAAATTACAGGCACTATATGTCAATCAGTCGAGCTGTATAAGTCCTTAGTTATCTTTCTGCCTTTCAGAAACAGGATATTTACTTTATTTTCCAAAATCTGAGTAGTCTGAACATTTATTCCGCAGTGACAAACATGACAGTGGTGTTGGCCAACATATTTTTCAACAATTTTGACCGCATTGTGGCAATTTTTCCAATTAAAGAAATACTTTAATGCATGTCAACAGTTATCAATGTCATGGTTATCTTGTTTTTGCAGAAGTTAATTGCATTTGTAGAACTTTGTGCAATATTGGATTTAATTCAAAAGGAAAATATTGGTTATAATAATTTTTCCAAGTCAGAGCGAAGATGAAAAAAGCTAATCATCTGTATCAGAACTGTAAGTGAGGAGCATGTTGTAGAATTACTTTCTTTGGGAAAACTTGAGCTACCAAAGTAACATAATTAACATTTTCAAGATTATGGAATTAATGGACAAAATGCATCCAGTTCATTTCAAATATCAAAGGTTAAAACATTTAAATTCAGATGTTGGAGCAGGAAATAAGGAATTATATCACCTGAAGGAGAATAAAGTTATGAAATGGTACAATAAATTGAAGATATCAATATCCATTACTGAGATATTGTGGGAAAGTGAATAGCTAGGGGTTGATGCATAAAGTTAGAATAATTTTTTTTTGCTAGTTTGAAAACACTTTATTGATCCAAAAGACTCTTATCGTTGCCATTGGAAAGTATATTTTCAACAACATAATAAAGAGTGAGATTACTATGTTATGGAAAGGTATAAAGTATTCCTGAATTTTGTGAGCAAGCAAAAAATGTAATTTTCCATTTGTCAAATGATCAGTTGTAACATATCAATGTTACCCTGAAAATATTTTCAGATTTTTTTCCATGAATAATTAATAGATTGTTTTTGTTTCTTAAACGCATGTAGATTTACACAGATACAGTGTCTCACATCCAGGTCCTGCAAATATTGCGTATTTTTATGAGTGGCTATGAATGAATTTTAGACCTCATGAAGTGAAGAAATAACTTGCTGGCTTGTTCAGCTCAGTGCTGCATTATTGCAGTGCGACATCAGACAAGTTATCTGCTTCGCACGCCAGATTTTTCCAGTCCTCTGAGAGGTCTGAATCACCCTTGACCCTCCCTAAACCAACTAGATCCAATCTGCTGCACCTAACCTAGCTCAAACTGCCTGACCTGAGCCACCCGCACTGAAAACTGGCCAGATCTGAAATGCAGGCCGCACTGAATCCTGAGGGATCTGGCTGTGAAACTCTGTATCTGTATATATATTAGATATACGTTCTCTATTTTGTATATGTGTCTTGCACAGGAATGTTAAACCACATTGCGATACACAAGGAAGAAAGGAATATTGACTCCTTTTATTTGAAATTCTTTGTCATTAGCTGTTGGTTGTTTGTCAAACTAGAAAATAAATCCATTCTAATGCAAGGCATTGCATTGATTTTTGTAAATGTGAATAAATCGGTATCAGAATGACACAGACAGTGCCTTGGATACAAACTACACGAGTCAACCCAAAGATATAAAAGAATTGATTTTGTCGTGCTGTTATTGTTGTTTCTTTGTCATGAGATGTAATATTTGAAAGCTTCCATCATTATCTCTAAATAGCACGAGTCAATGCTAATTTATCCTTGGGCAAAACACATTAAGTATTAACAGATTTTATCAATGATGTGAATTTTAAAAATGTATTGGCATTTAAAAAGATGTTATTTGTTAGATGTTCCAGAGCCACCAGAAGATTTGAAATTAACTGACCTGCAAAACATGAATGTTAGATTAGACTGGAATCCAGGAGATAGCCACAATAGTCCCATAATTGGTAGGTAATGTTTACTATTTTAGATATCTTTGCTAAAGGATGCTTATGGAGGGAACATGTTTAAACATTTGAATGCTGGATTTGATTTTGATCAAAAATAGATGAATGAAAGTGCTTTTGATTTGGATGTCTGTCAGGATTGTTGTGGTAGAAGTCAGAATAGAGTTAAATATCTCTTTTTTCTTATTCAAGAAATTAGTAGTGTTATGTAAAGAAACAAAGTGTCAGCAGTGGCTCTTTTAGGATGCTTTTGCTTTTGAGTTACATGTTTCTGACTTCAAATCTCAGTGCAGGACCTGATCACAAAAATGAAATTCCAATGCAGTACTGACTATGTCCTGCAATCTAAGAGGCGCCATCTTTCAAATGAGACATTAAACCCAAACCACATTTGCCATATTTGCTAGATGTAAAAAATCTGAAGGGTTTGTTTGAATGAAGAGCAGACAAATTATCCCTGGTGTCCTGACCAATAATTTATCCCTTAAGTATGGGAGCTCACTGTTTACAAAGTTGGTTGCTGCATTTTCTCCATTTCATACGTAGTTCTCTGGCTTTAAAGCATTTGTAACATTCGATGGTCATGAAAAACCTGATATAATTTGAACAATTATTTCCAAAACAAAAGTTAAAATCTCAGTCAGAGGTTGATTCAGCATCTACCCAGTTCAATGTATTCATCTCTGATTGCAACTAAAATGTTTCACATTTGTCAGCCAATAACCTGTTCCATCAGAATATCCAAACAGATTTCCAGCCATAAATGCAAATATGCCAAATAATGCAACCATAGTCATGTAACATGGGATCTTTCTTACAATATTTTTACGGAAAGCATTTTTTAGCTACAGAGAAAAACTATGTGTTTTACAATTGTCATGTTTATATCTATACTTTATAATTTGTGAAAATGCTGGTGGTATGTATATTTTTAAAATCTATTTATGCAAAACAACATAAACAAAACTCATTCAAATACAAAGCCTCAACCTGAGAATTATAGGCTAGTATCGGTCTAGACAATATTAAGTTTCAATGTCTACTGATAAGTAAATTAATGGTAGTATTGTATTTGTAATAATTGTCAGAAATAAAATCTCAAGTAATATGATTAATTTGTACCCCCAATAGCAAATAAATACTAAACTTTCCATGTCATTTTACAGATTTACTAACATATGAAACAATTTTAATTTTATATAGCATTTATTGTGGAGGAGACCACATTTGAACCGAAAAGGTGGCATGAAAAGACGAGAGTTGATGGAAATACAACTTCAGTTACATTGCAGCTCTCTCCGTATGTCACTTATCAGTTTCGAATATCAGCTATAAATGAAGTCGGCAAAAGTCATCCCAGTCAGCCTTCAGAAAAACACATAACACCATCAGCAGGTACGTAAATAAAAATTATAATTGACTTCTTTCCTATCAGCACAGTATCACAGGATGAGGGGTGACCTTATAAAAGTTTATAAAATCATGAGGGGCATGGATAGGGTGAAGAGTCAAGGTCTTTTCCTGACGATGGGGGAGTCCAAATCTAAAGGACATAAATTTAAGGTGAGAAGACAAAGATTTGAAAGGGACCTAACGGGCAACATTTTCACACAGAGAGTGATGTGTGTATGGAATGAGCTGCCAGAGGAGGTGGTGGAGGCTGGTACAATTACAACATTTAAAAGGCATCTGGACGCGTATATGAATATGAAGGGTTTAGAGGGATATGGGCCAAACGCTGGCAAATGGGACTAGATTAATGCAGAATATCTGGTTGGATTGGCTGCGTTGGACAGAAAGATCTCTTTCTGTGCTGTACATCTCCATGACTATGATTGTACAAAGCATGAATCATATTGTGGATAATGAGAATGGCACTGACAATAACTGGCACAGAAATGTTTCATTGTCCAAGTCTCAGTTGCTGGGGAGTTTCCATTTTAGCAAAGTGTTTCTTTACAATATATCCCAATTACCTCACTACATGGAGAATTCCAGTTCCCTATTCTGTTTCGTGTACTAAACTATTGTGATTTAATTGTGTTACACTAGTTTATTTATTAAAGAATGCTTGTAACTCTCATCCAATGTTGTTTGTGTCGCACTCTAATATTGCTTTTTTTTTTATTTCTTTACCTCTGTTTTCTTCATTTATCTGTTTGCTTCTTTAATTCTTTTTTTCTCTCACTATCACCTACCCCAAAACTCTTTCTCAGATACTTACGTAGTATTTACTGTATGGGCGACTTAATTACTTAACTGACTGATGAAAATATGGAATACTTTGGGAGTAGGTTGTGAATACCAAAATAATTAATTAACTTATGCCAACAATAAATACAGAATAATTCATTAGTTGGAAGAAAATATTGATGGAATTCATTTGGTGAAGTTTTCCCAGTCCCTAAATTATGTGGGCAATGATGAGTCAATTGGGAAAACATGGGAGATTGGAAAAAATTGTTTCTCGACGTAGAGAAAATTAAGTTCAATATGCACCTAAGGTTTGAACGGCGCGATGAGAATTTCTCTCGTGAGCAACAAGAGGACATGTGCGTGGAATATTATTTCTTCTCCCCTTGTTTTTATGCTGTTTGTATTCCGTCACAAGGCAGAGGGAAACTAAGTGGTGACAATTCCCAACATGCAAGTTAAAGCACGTATCTACCAGCTCCAGATCACTACTTGTTCCTCCATGTCTTTATCTTGGCCAGCATTTCCCAACATAACTCAAGCACCTTCTATGGGCAGCGGACATTTGCACCTGTCTGGCTGCAACCTCACCTCATCATCATGGCACAACTCTGAATCACATGGAACACAGTTCTCCACATCATTCCTGCACTGTGGAATGCAGCAATACGTAGCATTGTAGTAGTGCTTAAGTACAATGAGAGGAGGGGATCTTATGGATTAGAACAAGGCATTCTGGTAGCAATTAATAACTTTATGCTTCGCTGGATGATCACAGCATCTCTGCCTTGCTGAGGCTTTTTGCATTTTGCACCTCATTTAGAGCATACAGGCAGATGTATTTTTGTGTTTTCTTGTCTTTTAGTGCAGAATCAAAGCTAGGCAGTTATCATACATAGACATGTGATATTAATAATATGTGCCAGTAGCTTATGTGGCAAACACACTGCATGTATTTCAACCAAATGGCATATCAAGTGATTCTTTTTGGCCTCGATGTTCACATGGGATTCTCGCTGGTGAGTTGTGAGAGGTCTATTACAATAGGTTACCACTTGTTATCGCCATCATTTTTACTTCATTTCATCTTGTTAATATGCAGTCGGCCATTCTACCACCGTCAAGTAATGAGACACCACAATTCATGATATCAGAGAGGGAACAGGCACCCAATGTTCTCCAGCTCACCACTCCTCTGGACCTTCATTGTGGGCACCAACGTCTCTGGACGTGATCCATGGTCAGTGACTGGACACACCCCATATTCTCGGGCATTGGCATCTGACATTTACCAGCCTTACTGCATTAACATGGCACATCCATGATCCACCGACTGTACACATCTGCACTTCAGTGCTGCACTTTGGAGTGCCCACTGACATTCATTGTCTGGCTGTAGCTGGCAGTAATGTGCAGAGGGACTGGCACTCGGCTTATGACCAAGGAGTATCTCAGGGCTCCTCCTTCAATGCTCATGGCAGACTTACCTTGACTTGTGTTTTGATACCTCCCCCACCTCCTGCAGCCATACCTTAAAGGCTCACAGATCTTCTGCCTTGACTAGTCTTGTAGCACAGATGTAAAGCCAGGGATCTTGTCATGGTTGTCAGTCAAGTAGGCAGACCAGCTTCTGTACAACAGTGTGCTGTGCCAGTGTTATGCCTGCACTATGGGTCAGCCACACATGTGCCAAAAACATTACACGCACTGTAGGCAAATGCCACATCTCGAACGCTAAGGGAAGTCCTCAGTCAGGTCCAGCGAGACAGCCTTCACTCAGAGGCAGGACATCAAGAGAAGCCTCCAATGTCAGTCTAAGGGTTTGGGTTTGAGTTGGGGAGTAGTGCTGCCTACCAGAGGCCACTGCTGTGGTTGGCAATTGGAGGCAGAATCCTGGCATGCAAGTGGGATTACAATTGTGAAATGGGACGAGATGGGGAGGCAATAGAGCATTGAAAGGAAAGTGGTGATGCGGGAAAGAGGACATCTGACTGTAAACTACACCCGAGCTTTAGTGGGGGACAGTGGACCTGCAAGTTTACCCAATATACCTGGAGCTGAGTGCATAACGTGGGCAGACGAGGATTTAGAGAGTCGGGTTAGATGGGAGCTTGGGGAATTTCAAAGGCAATGTAGTTGATGGGAATGCCAAGAAGTGAATGTTATATTTGTTGGTTCACCAAAAAATAAGAGGCTGAGACTGAAACTCACTGTTTGAGAAATGACCGCTGTTTGCTTCCATTGTGTTATGAGTAATAAGTGTGCAATGGAGATGGAAATGGCTGTGACCACACCAGAATGGGCAGGATAGGTGTTTCCTTCCGTGAGGGAAGCGACTTCAATTCTGAGCAATATGAGGCCCTTTAAAAAGCGATAATGTAATTCAAACTTCAGTCACTGAAACATACCTGCCAGCACTATATGCTACATGAACCTTAGGCATGAACTTACTGTGTGCAGTCCCAATCCTTGCCCCATGCACTGTTATGAGATCATGCAAAATTACAAATAAATCCCACCAATGGCTGTGATTGAATGGCACTATTTCACTACCTGGAAAGATTAATTTTAGATGCTAAAGTGGCATGCACTTGCACTTTCCCATAGGCAGCACATTGTTCAGGTGTTGCTCACTTCACACACTGAGCCATTAGACATCGTGTAACACTAAGGATGGTTTTCACTTGTACTTTCAATGTTGAAGCTAGACATACATTCACACACACATGGTGTAAACTGAAGAAATATGAAAGTGTATTGACTGTGACATGTCACCCTTACCACTGATGTGCCCTCATTCTGTCTCCTTGTGAGGAAGGGGCACCTGACCCCCATTTCCCTATTATATTGTTGTTGGTGCTGAGCACCAATGGCTAGATCAATGGAGTGCAGGTCTGTACAGATACCCAGTGAGACTGCTGGACCTAGATCTTGATGACAGCCACCATGGAATCAGTTAGATGCTCACATGCCTGTGGCAGCTGAGTCTCAACTACGTTGGTGCAGTCTTGCAACCTTTGTGTCAGATCGCCCAGTGCCCGCATCAAACCTCTATGTTGGTCTGGTGCCAGGATGTATATGTCAAAGAAGTTAAAACTTGCCCGCATTATGGGGTCCAGACCTCCTCGAGGCTGACGCCTGGTCTCTGGAATGTCCACTGAGGGCAGCAACCTGAGATGTTTCTTCCTCAACCAGCTGCAAAGACATGGCAGTAAAGTGCTGCTAACTCTGATTGTATTAACATACCCACCGAAGGGGCAGTATCTGTGCAGGTGGAACGTGCAGGAGACAATCTTGACAGTGCTTCCTCAAAGGCTGTCTTCCTCTGAGACGGAGGTGCAGAAGTTGTACCATGTTAATAATATAGCCACAGCAGGTGTAAAGGGAAAGTAGCACAGCAATGAGCAACGCTTCTTCTTTGGTTGTCAAGGTAAGGATGGTTCAGTGTTTGCAGAGCACCAGTCCGAGGTCTCTCCCAACAGAGAGGGCTAAGATCCTCTGCTCATAGTGAGTGAGGAACTGAATGTCATGTACTCAAACACCTGTCTTGGCACTTTTGGCCCTATTATAGCCTCCTTTTTCCTAGATTGAGAGGACAGCAGAAACCCAGTGAGATCAAAGTGACTGGCACAGACACTGGTACTGGTGCATTCGGGAGAAAAGTGGTGAGGTGTCCCAGGCAAGTAAGGCCGTGCACCGTGAGCAGGATAGAGGAATTGGGTAAACGTGTGCAAGCGAGAGAAGATACTGCATGCAGTACTGAGAATGGCAGACCATAAGCCTTGGCAGGAAGTGGGTGCGGGAGCATTAAGAGTGGGTGAGTGTGAAGTACAAGAGAGAAGATGGCAACACTTACCCTGCCAGAGCACTTTTGGCACTGCTGGCCATTCCTCCAGATGATTAAGCCTGCATTGACTCAGGCAGTAACATCTGACCAGATGAGCATAATCTGGTGTCTTGGTCTTCTCTTCAGGTCCTGGAGGAGGAGAAGGTCCCTACTCTGTACCAGACGCTCCAGATCCCTGCCTACAAGGTAGGGTACAAATAGCCCCTTACCTGTCTGCCTGTGCAAGTTCATCTAACATCTGGAAAATCACTGCATCGTAGCTTTTTTAAACATGGTGCCAAAGCCAGGGGTTCTGGGGCAGCCCAATAGTGGCACTTACATCCATCTGGGATGAGTGAAAGCATCTGGCTATCAG